ACTGTGTCCAACGAAGCTACCAGTGAAATGGGATATCCAGCTTGGCCGGCTGGACGTACCTGCATCTGAGTTGTGAATGTTTTAGCCACTCTCCATCCAATCGTAGAGGTCCTCAGGCTGTTGCAGGATGATTCAGGTCTGCAGATGTGCGCTCGTCGATTTTTGCTTTCTTTCCATGTCTTGAGATTTGCGCTTGGAGAGCTTTTGAACTCGAAGAGTTTTGGAACTTGTGGTTGAACTTGAAGGAGTTATAGGTTTCTCGTGCTGTTTTACTTGGACCCTTAGGTTTTTCACTTAGGCTGGCGTGTGGCAAACCGCAACCAAACCAGTACGCATTTCTACAAGTGTGTGTGTGTGTGGGAGACTGCATGGGGGGGTCACGACTGTGTCCGGGGTGAACTGGCGGAAAAGCGAGTGCGGGTTGTCGATGGCGCATTGTTTGGTGGCCAGCGCCCGTTCATGCAATCATAGTATGAACGGGATGCGATTTCTTTTCATGACCCCTTGGACTGGCACACACACACACCCACCTGAAAGAGGGCACAGAGAAATGGACACAGCAGCACACTTTGAGCAACCTGCCAAGCAATTTCTTGACATCTCATGACCTGTTTCATTTCTCTCCTGCTTGAAACATCTTGAGAGGGTGTCGCTGCTCCCTGGTGTTCTGACATCCCTAGTTCTGCAATTCTGGACTGTTTTGCCTTCCTGCTGCAGAAAGCATCCATTGAAAAGGTGCTCCAACTGCCAAAAGAATGGTGCCGTTCTGATGATTTAAGCAACATTTCCATCAAGCCGTGCAAAAGTAAGAGCACAATGTAAATGCATTGATACTGCAACCCTGATGTGACCTAATGATGCGATCTGGTGAGCAAAGAGTAGGATGAAGTACGTGCAAGAACGCAGACACAGATTGGGTGATAATTGGATGACTTCCCCAGAAGTTTGTGACTTTGGCGCTGAGTCTAGATATATTATATATTGGGAAGAAGTTTCAGTGTATAGATCAGATGTAGTATGTACAGTATTGCATTTTAGTTTTGACCCGCTCGCAGCCCGTTTGCATTCACAGAAAAGTTCGCATGGTAGCGGAGCAGGGATAAGGGTAACCCCTTTTAGCTCCAGAGAAAAGCCCCTAGGTCCCTAGGATCCCGGGAGAGTTTTCGAGCCATAGATTTGAGGCCTTTGGAACCCAAATAGCTGGACTGGTGATAGATTGTTGTGAGCTGCACTCTGTACCCCCCGTACATAGTGTCAGAAGGACGTTGTTGTGGAGAGATGGATGAGATCAGAGAAATCCTTCAAGTTATAGCACAGAGTACAGCAGCAGCAGCATCAGCAGCTGAGGCAGCGAAGAAAGCAGTTGAAAAAAGAAAGCAACTGCGACGGATTGGTCAAAGTTGGTTACAAAGCCCAATCCTTTTGATCGCAAGTCACAAGAAGAAGAGATCAAAGCCTTCAGAGAGTGGTCATGGACAGTTGAGAAGTGCTTGAGCTCAGTGGATGAGGCTTACATGAGGGACTTGAAAGAGATTCGTGATAAGCCCGATGAGAGCTTTGACATGGACTTGGCAACTACACAACAAAAGACAACAAAAGACCAGGTGCATCAAGCTCATGGGTTGTTAGCTTCGTTGTGAAAGCGTGGAGGACTCCAATGGATTTGGGGCCTGGCGCACTAATTTCCTCAGCGTCAGATGGTATCTATGTTCGCTCAGTTCTTGAATTTGCGCTTGGGACAAAGGTGGACCATTACATCTTCACAGATTCTTCAAGTTCGTTCCAACTTGTGAGAAAAAGAGGAGTTGGGAAAGTGAGACGTTTAGATGGAAAGTTGCTGTGGATTCAGAAAAAGGAACGATTTCAATATGGTGCAAGTACGAACGGACAGCAACATGGCAGACATCAATACCGTGCCACTTTGAGGGCCTGAGAATCAGATTCTTGATGAACCTTGTTGGTTATTGGCGCAAGGAAGAGCAAACAAGGAGATACTGACAACGCTGCCAATTATAGGCCCATTTCTCTTCTGAGTAGCCTTTACAAAGTATATACGATCATGATACGCCAAAGAATGCAGAATGCTATTATTGATGCTTTATCCAACACACAGTACGGATTTCGGCCTCAGAGATCAACATCCCATGCAATATATATCATTCCCAGGCTCCAAGACTACGCCGAGTCAAAAGTGCCCGATTGAGTCTAGCCCTTTTAGATTGGGAAAAACTTTCGATAAAGTGCGGCGCGATGAACTAATTGTTGCTTTACAACAAATGGGCTTTAGTCAACATTATTGTAATATCATTCAAGACTGCTATAAAAGGCCAACATTTTTCGTGAAAGATGCGTTTGGATCATCCCAGGTCAAATACCAATCTTCTGGCATCAGGCAAGGGTGCCCCCTTTCCCCTTATTTGTTTGTTATTGTGATGTCGTGCGTGGATTTTGAGATTCGCTCCAAAAACAGTCGATGGGTACACAATGGCAGAGTCCCAAATCTGGATTTTGATTTAGTTTACTATGCAGATGATACCATCCTCTTTTCTACTGACAACAGGGCACTAAATGAGTTGTTGAAGCTCACGGAAGCTATCTCCTGCAAATACGGACTGCGGCTAAACAAAGACGAGTGTGTTGCGATACTAAGGAACAATGATGGTTTGGTCTATTTTCAAAACCTCGAACCATTACCCAAGAAGTTCGAAGCGACTTATTCAGGCAACGAAATTAACAAGGAAGCGAAGATTCGACACGAAATCTTGAACCATATGCAAGAAGTAAGACAAACCTGGTTCAAGTTGCTGCCGCGCTGGAAAGCAACAAAAATGCGAACGTGAAATGGCAACTGCTTATTTTTGATGCTGTTGTTCGATCAACATTGCTATACGGACTTGAAACTATACACCTCACCGACGCCATGCTGAAGAAAATTGATGCCTTCCAACTACGGTGCTTGAGGAAAATCCTCAAGGTTCCGTCAACATCTATAGACAGAAGAAACACAAATACAGAGGTTCTGAATAGACACACAGCGCTGGCATATCCAAACCGAGGCGACCGACGTGAGTTTGAATTATTCAGCCAATCGTATCTCTGTAGGAACTCCAAATCATTGGGTCATGCAGGGCTAGCCACGACGATCCTATGCGCCAAATTTCCAGCCCTATTCTACACTCAGAGTTTCTTATGGGAAAAAACGAGTCGGTCGCCCGAGACAAAACTGGTTGCATTACGCCAAAAACATACTTTTGAACATATCTTAGGTGGTTATGATTACACAGAAACTGTTGCTGAAGACTCACGAATTTATAATGCAGCCTTCACTCGAACTTTCTGATATGTAAAAATGCCACGGCTTCTCTTGGCTACGCCAACGCCTTGCATTATATGACTGAAGTCAGTGCAGGGTACGGCTGGGAAAAAAGAGCAAACAAGAGTTGGTGAGCATATGAAGAGAAAAAGAACTTTGCAGGCAAGGTCAACAAAATTCCCAAGATGATTGTCAGATTGTAGGCTTAGAGGGCTTGCAGCGAATGGTTCCAAGTGTATTTCCTGGAGACATTGGGCAGTGCAGATTGGAAGTGGAAGATTCCAAAAGAAACTGGAGCATCACAATCATGGTGATCATTATCATTGGTTTTGCAGCAATGACCTTTGCAATGTGGAAGATTACACACTTCTAGCGCAAGTATGACGAGTTGAGAGCTTTGGTCAACAGAACTCAGGATGGTGGAGATTGAACACATGATTGACCAGAGAGATGAAGATGAACATAGGATAGACAACCAGGTAGGTTAGGCCAGTAGATTTCATAGTGGATTGATTCTCAATGGGGTGTTTGTAGAACAAGACTTAGCCAGAAGGAGCTTGGAAGATGTGAGATCAACCACAGGACGGCATCATGGTCAGACTGTGATGGTGAAAGCAGCTACCCAAGGAACAATTCCCACAGAGGGACCGCTATCAGGAAAATTCAAACCAGGAAATGGAGAACAGATGAACAAAGTGGAATATGACAGAGAACTGGCAGTGCAGCTATGTGGTCGACCTGAGAGGAAGACTGAGCAACTGAGAGAAGGACACTGGAAGCTGCTAGGAAGAGGAGAAGAGGATTTAGCAGATACAGTTGAATGTGAGAAGGAACGGTATAAAAGGTTGCTTGAATTCATGGAAAAACAAAGCAACAACCCAGAAAACATACCACCAGATGCCTCAAGGAACCCCGTTTTTGAGAGGAAAAACAACTCGACAGAAACTAGCTCCGATTCAGAAACTACGATTGAGAAACTTGCGATTCTGAAACTACAGAGTGTCCCGATTCAGAAACTAACCCGTTTCAGAAACTAGCCGATTCAGAAGCTGGCCGGTTCAGAAACTTTCCGATTCAGAAACTGGGGGAGGGGGGGGTGGGGTGGGGACCTAATGAAATGTTTGTGTTGATGTAGCGTGGACATACTCGTATTTCACAGGCCCGATTCAGAAACAATTCGATTCAGACCCGTTCTAGTTTCCGAATCTTAACTTCCGAATCCGTGCTCCTTCTAGTTTTCGAAATCTAGTTTCCGAATCTCGAGTCCTAGTTTTCGAATCCGTGCCGAGCCTAGTTTCCAAATCAGTGGCAACCCTAGTTTCCGAATCCGTGGTTCTAGTTTCCGAATCCGCCGTTGACTGCAATTAAGCGCTTACACTACCGAGAGGGAGCGGGGAGAAGTTTCAATGTAGATCAGATGTAGTATGTACAGTATTGCATTATAGTTTTGACCTGCTCGCAGCCCTTTTGCATTCAGAGAAAAGGTCTAAGTTTTGTTAAGACAACATAGACAGTTCCTCACAAATTGGAGGTTCCTTTGTCCCGTGTCCCTTCATTTTCAGACATTATGCCCTTAGGGACATGAAAAGAGACTTGGAAGGTCTTCATGGGCAGACATGCCCAAATCGCACCCCATGTTTTCATCCACATTGAGCCTTTACTGGCAAAACGGACTTTGTTGATGGTGTGATTTGCAAGTTTCAATCTCCGCAGATACTACTAGCCCCCCTGCCTGTCAGATCGACTATTCCGACAACTGGCAAGCTGAAGTCGACAAGATGATGGCGGACAAAGATCCGGATTTGTTCATGCTCCGCACAAAAAAGGGCTTTTTGATCACATTTGTTACTCGTGATCCTCATTTGGAGCTGTCCAGAGACCCTGATGAATTCGAGTTTCCTGTTCAACTCATCTCGAAGGCGGGGCTGATCAGAAAAGAAGTTGCTTGACATTTTGCACTTTGCATGAGACGTCAAATGAACAAATAACAGTCACCAAACAACAATGTGTGTGGTTGGCTATCAGTGCACTTTTTCAGGCAATCATGGTATGAACACGATGCGATTTCTCTTCATGACCCCTTGGACTGGCACACACAGACAGAAATGAACTCTGCCAAAGCACACTTTGGGCAACCTGCCAACCAACTTCTTGAAATGTGTTGAGTTGTAGGAATGCGTTGATGCAGTTAGTGAGAGCGCAATGTAAATGCGTTGATAGTGTGACCCTGATGTCACCTGGTCCTATCCGGCCCTCCTTTGCAGTTTCACGGGCACCAGTAAACTTGATGTGATCTGAGTTCTAAGTGTGTGAGTGCATATACACTCCCTGAAATGATCATGGAAGGGGATGGCATGGCCCCTTGGAATACCATTTTCCTCGACGAACAGGTGGGTTTCCAGTTCCATGATTATTGCAGGGAGCGTACAGTATTAGTGCATGCTTTGAGTGATCAGTGATCAGCATGATATTGTGGTCACTGATGTATAGTGCAGCATTCCATGCATGATAATTGATGGTCAAAAAGGGTCCTTGGTATCTGTGCACTGTAGCACGAGAACGATCGATCCTGCCGCAGGTATCTTGCCTGGACAGGGCCAAAGCCTGGTTTTTTGGCATTATATAGATCCATTATTTTTTTTGGTTGCTTTGTCCCTTCCTTACAATGCAGTGTCTCCAAATGTTACTTCTATTGTTCCTGCCACTATAGTCTCCAGCTCTTCACCGGAACAAGAGGAGGACACGATGAAGACAATTCAAGTTGACTTACCAAAAGTGCGTACAAATCAAGGAGCCAAGAATTTCTGCTCCTTGTCTACAAGCAGCTCACACCTACCAAACGAAACTTGGCTGATTTGTCAGCGAAGTGGGTCACTGCGTCACTTGCGTCACTGCGTCACTTATTTTTTTCTGGCTGAACATTGTTTGAGTTATGTTGATTCACATTCTATCAGATTCGATGTTTCAGATAAAGTTATCAAGTAGAATATGGTTTGATATGTTGGCATTCTGTTTTGTTGGTGTCGGGGCAAAAGCAGCCTTTGTGCAACAGCAGCCAGTGTGCAATTCGATAGATCTTCAAATCTTAAGGGATGCATGGTGGCACAACTCGCAGACAAAAACATTATCGCCCTCAAGACTAGGTATGGGCAAAGGGCATGGAGAACAAGGATACTGAGGGATGTTTGCAAACCACGGTCACTCACCTTCAGGCCAAGCTAAACTGTGTTTGTGTCATGTGTCGCTGCACTATGCTTTGAACCAAGGAAAGATGCTGCTGTGGGAGAATCTAGGCTACACTACGTATATTAAAAAAACATATATATACATACTACCCGGAGATGAGTTGGGAGTAGTGAAACATATATGCGGAAATACATTTTCCCATCTCTCGTGTCCGCGGCTGCATTCTGATGGGATAGTTTTGGACCAAAAGGAAACGTATCTCATGTGTCCAAACCACATGAAGGAGGCCCATAAGGTCCTATCTCATGAGGGCCTATCTCAGATTTGGCCTAAGCACGTCCCGGCAAATACGGTTTCGTGTCGGCTTTGGAATCGGTAGAGCAGGGCATTTGAAGGACACAGAATTTTCTCATGATGGGGTCACGGGTTGGAAACAGGAAACGGGACACCGCATTGCCAGATTGGGAGGAGTTTGTATAGGTAAAGTCTCAGACTTTGGACGAATGAGTTAGGCCAAGAAAAAGTAGTAAAGTATCCCTATCTCATGTGTTCGATCCAATTTTTGGCTATTTTCGAGTCCTATCTCATCTGCTTTCCGTACATTCTGCAATGCCCACAGTTTCCTATCTCATCTTCCCCTATTATATATATATATATATATAGATATTCATATAATATATCACGAAAGCCAGCCGATGGGCAAGGCTTGAGGTTGCTGGAGCCAAAGAAATGAGTAAAGGGCAAATTTCGGAGAGGTGAACCCAGAGCCTGGTGCGGGAGAGCGAAAAAAAGGAGGTGGGCCACTTGGTAGTGAAAACTGAGTGGTTTGAGGGGTGTTGTGATGCCGGTGATGTAATTGACGGCGTAGAGTGCATCATCAGCATCACAAGGGGCTCAGGAGACCATGGAAAGAGAACAGATTGTAGTTGCGGCTAAGCTTAGCGTTGCTGCCGGACTGAAGAGGGCACTCCCTATGCGGTGGGAGTTCACGTGGATTGGGCGTTGGAGGCGGAAGACGGCGGAAGGCTTTGAATTGCTGAGGGGTCCGTGGCAACGTCTAGTTGCTGGACTGAAAAGCCATCTGTTGAGGGTCTGCGAGAGAATTGGACTGAAGAGGGCACTCCATATATGCGGTGGGAGTTGACGTGGATTGGAGGGTTGTTGAGAGCAGAAGAGAGAAGAGATTGCGGGCAAGCGTTGGAAGGTTTTGAATTGCTTAGGGGTGCCCTTTTTTCTCTGTGGCAAGGTCTAGTTATTGTACTCAAAGTGGCACCCCATATGGGGTGCATGATGCCTTCTGTTGAGGGCCTGGCACCGCCTATGCGGTGGGAGTTCACGTGGATTGGGGGTCATGAGATGAGGGGTTCACGAGGCCATGGAAAGAGAACAGATGGCAGTTGCGGCCGAGCTTGTTGCTGCCGGACTGAAGAGGGGACTCCCTACGCGGTGGGAGTTCACGTGGATGGGGGGTTGTTGGGGGCAGGAGAGAGAAGAGATTGCAGCGGGCAACATGGGGGGTGCATGATGCCATCTGTTGAGGGCCTGCGAGAGAACTGAACTGAAGAGGGCACTCCCTATGTGGTGGGAGCACCCGGTGCCGGGGGGGTTTGACCCCTTACACACACATGTATATATATATATATGTCCTCACGAAAGCCTGCCGATAGCCTCCCCCGCGACCATCTCTGGTCACTCATTACCAACACGCAGCCGACAAACTCACATAAAATCTTTGAGGGTGCCTTTTTCACCTCCAAAACACCCCTGATCCCGGACGAAAAGGGGCACCCCCCTTTTAATTCTACCGTCTGTTTCTACCTCCTATAGCGTACCTGCGATGCCAACTTCACCCCATAAACGTACTCTTTACATAATGTTAGCCTATCACTTCATTTTGCACACTCACGTCGCTCCAATATCAACCTCACCACTTCCGGCTACTCTTCTTTGTCCACTCTACCTACATACATACATATATATATATATATACACATATATATCCTCACCTACCCCGCCGTCTTTGCTCACTGATTCGCAACACGCCACCGGCAAGCGCGCATCACTTTCTTAGGGGTGCTGGGGTGCTCTTTTTCACCGCTAAATCGCCCCTTAACCGGAACGAAAAAGGGCACCCCCCAAACCTATGTCTTCTACTTTCCATGTCTTCTACTTTCCATTTCTACCCCCTATCAGTGTGGCCGCGATGTCAACTTCACCCCGTGAAATTAATCTTTGCCCGATGTTACCCCATCACTTCCTCTTGCATGCCAAGTCTTTGCCCGGGCCTGCCCTGAGGGCACCCCCTAAGCCAGAGGCTGGCTTTCGTCCCCTCCCTTCTCAGGTACACGCATATATATATATATATTATATATAAATATATATTGTTTTAAAATTCTTTTTGCTTGCCCACATTTCCTAGCACAATAGTGTAAGACCATCAGGCGATCAGATAATCAACGTTATACGCATTTGAGCAATTACAGGGACATACGACTCCTGACATTAAATTTGTCCTGCACGCTTCAAAGATGCTCCTGCATTTTTCGCTCGAGGAACGTGCCGCAATCAGTGCTTTGCTTCCAATTTCAGCGTTTTCCACGTTAGGATTTTCTGCGAGCTGGAGCAGAGCTGATTGGTGAACGTTTCACTAGAGGAAACACACTTGAGAATCAATTCTCGTTTTGTTTGAAACTGACATTTATCAAGGGAATTTTACCAAACCGATCCTTTATATACAGCATTATGAGGGTGCCGCGTGCCTGAACAATTTCATCCCGTTTGTATTTGGTTGTACGCTCTTTTCGCCGCCCATTGTCCATGTTTTTGGTGATCATGGGCGATGCTTTTCTGCGAGAGATGGTTGAGTCGCACTTAACAAGGCTGCACACACTACACATTTTCAGGTCAGAACGTGCAAATCTGTTGCACAGGTCAATTTCCAAATGAGGTCTTTGCATTTATTTACATCCTACTGGTCGGTGACAGTCTCCTTGTCGCGCTCCTGAACCTGGCTATCCCAACGGCCCAAATCATATTGGCCTTTGTGTCTAAGCAGCAGTTCTTGTGGTGCGGCCAGCAAACACAGACCCAACTGGTCTACCAACAGCTTGTGTGACGCTCAATGGCCATGCGAAATGCAGGGTTGAATTATCAGTTGGGCACCAAAAGTGTGCAGGTGCTGCTGTTGTTCGCCGAATATCCACACGCCAAGGATATCGACAGTGGATCCAGTGTAAATACCAATGGCCATGCAAACCACCAACATTTTGTAAAACAAATATTCGCAACTTATGACTTATGACAGGAAATTCTATTTTGGAGCCCCTCTATGGTTTGCCGGACGTGAAGGGTCACATTTTCTTGTGGAGGATTGCTCCACTGCCAGCATGCCGACACAGGGGTTCTTCAAGAATATTCGGCTTCTCGTTGCACCCAAGCTGGCCAAGCGGATTGATGATGCTTTCCACGACAAGGATTTGGTGCAAATCCAGCGGCTGAGAAAGGAGGCGGCGATTCTGCTGTCTTGCTGCCATGTGGTTTGTGAAAGTTTCATACAGATTCTCAGGGATTGTTGTCCTAGTTGGGAGTTGTTTGTTGGATAATTCTTGGGAGGTTTTCTTAAGTCTGTTTATTGGCTTTGCCGAGTGTTTGGCAGTGTGGCAGAGTGTTTGGATGTTTTTGGCCCTGTTTGTTGCTGCTTTGGGAGCGCTAGGTCAGATGCTACTGTACATACCGTCAGTAAATACGTCATCGAATTGAGCAATGGCTGCCCGGTATCAAGCCCCCGGCTCCGGCATCTGGCCTCATCAGCCATCTGGCTCCGGCATCTGCGCCTGGCCACTGCCAGCGGCCATTGGCCACTGGGCCCCGCGAACCAGCCTCCGGCTGCCACCGCCTGGCCACCACCGCACCCGCACACAGAACCACTCACTTGTGCGCACAAGTATTGAGGGGTGGGGGCCGGATATGGTGGGACGATGTAGATGGATCAAACATTTTGCTGTGTGTGTCCAGAAAAGTGCCTTGGATTGGAGTCCGATTGCAGTGGCTCCTTTTATCTGCTGCTTTCCACAAAAGGCGCCTCAGGTTGGAGCGGATCCTTGATTGCTTGAAATTTGCACTGGGTGGTCCAAAAGAGACCTTAGTGTTTGCTAGTTTTGACTTCATTTTTTGGCGGGCCACAGAAGGTGCTCGAATGGCAGAAAAGCAGCCATGGCCATGCGCTTCAAAGAATGCCTTGTGCTTACTTGCGGTCTTGATGGTATCCCCTCAAGCAAGCACTGCACGGTCTTGACACGGCCGTTTCTGTGCGGTTTCCAAAACGTTCTTCCAAGTGCCCCATCAGACCCGACAAGGCAAAGGGTCCAAACATGCGTGTGCAAGTGACTCGTTGCGTGACAGCCCTGTCGGTTGTGGCGTGTTTCCTGCGGGTCCTTGCGCATCTGCCTGGGGCCGGAGAGCCTTTGTTTTGGACACTTTGGTGACGAAAGTCAGTCTGTCAGTTAGGCTGAAGGGAAGTTAGTTTCTGCGAGCAAAGTGAGGTTTCCAGGAGGGTGTCACGGTGGCTGTACGGTTCCGGAGGCAATTTTCGGTGAGTTGGTGATGCAGACATTGCTAGTTTTTTGAGAGTTGCCGGTGCAGAAAATGATAGGGGCACCATCAGTGTTAGCATCAGGAAGGCCGATAGCGAGAACAATTTCACTACTCGCGAGAAGTAGCTGGGAAAGAAGGAAGGTATAATTTTCAGGTGCAACCGCACATTCCTCTGGCGGAGTGATGTTTAGGCTGCAATCGCACCCGGCCATGTTGTTTCACCAGCCAGTGGAAAGTACCCTACACATCCATGTGGGAAAGTTGAGGTGATGCGCAAGCATGCTTACCGCCCTCTAAACGCGCCAGGTTTCATGTAGTTTTGTCAACTGCGCATGGTGTCTCGGACCTGCGTACTCAAGTGTGCTGTCTTTTGTTCCTCCTTTCTCAGGCTGTGTTGATGCGATGCTCATCTTCTCAAGGGTTGAGTGAAGCAGACAAAGAGGTGTAAAGGACACGGTTGGCGTGTGCATCCAGATGACTGCAAAGGTCCCCCGGGATTGGATTTCCTAGCGGCATATGGGCGATTGGTAGTGATGTCGCTGACCGTTGAGAAACATATACAGCAAAGAAGAGCAGGAGTCCCAGGAGTGTATAAGAAAGCATTATATAGATGGAGCTTTCAAGAGCCAGCGAGGCGCAAGACGTGTTTCAACGGCTCATGAGCAGCTGGCTGGTCATTTTGGCTCTTGTGAGAAACAGCAATGACCAGTGCAGAACGAACAAGCAGCATTGAACAAGAGACTAACGCAAGTCTTTCGAAAGATTCTTGTAACATTGGCGTTGGTCCGTTTGGCTGGTCCTTTGCGAGATCAGACAAACACCTTTGACCTTTTGTGACTCATTGTAGATACTCCTGCAGGAGTAAGCAGTGTGCTGCCCAACAAAGCATCAGGTGACGATCTGCAACCCACCAGTGACGCTGGAGGCAGAGGCTCTCTGGTGCTGACGGGTTTCCAGACGCCATGGACAATGTCTTGTGGATGTATGACTACGGGACCTACACTTGGTTCCACGAGGCTCAAGAGCCAGAAAAGATTCAGATTTCGTGGTGTGTGCGGCACATCGCGGACGCCAAAGTCGTCTTGCAATTGGCGAGAAGTCTTGCAGGTTTCGTGATAGGCGCACTTCTTCGTGGACCACAATGTGCAGAGTTTAAGGCTGAAGGCAAGCGCAGCAATTCCTGCAGCCTTCATCGGCAGCAGAAGACGGAGCAAACAGCGCACATCTCAACGCAGCAGCAGCAGCCGCCGCAGCAGCCGCCGCCGCCGCCGCAGCCGCAGCCGCAGCCGCCGCCGCAGTCTCTAGTTTGCCTACAATGTATTTTTGCGTGCGCGGGGCAACGGCCAATGAGCTCATCCGCCTAACCACCTTGAGAGCTCACCCAGCGCACTTGCACAAGACCAAAGGCCCTTTAGAGACTCACGGCTAGGGACTCACCAAACAGGGCTAGACATGTGCCTCATCAGACGTATGGCGCTGGGCAGCGCCCTGTGTCTGCGTGGCAGATTGCTTGCTTCCAACAAGCATCCCATGCAGTTTCCCGTCATTGTTATGAATCTGTAGCCCGTCCTTTTGTTCTGGGCTATTTGCTTGATTACTGTAACCAACCATGCCGCTCTCTCAGTGGCTCATGTGTTCGCAATTTTCGTTCTTCTCAAGGCTCAAGTGACATCGATGCGGCAGCGTTGCGTCCACGGTGCGTACGCGATTGCCTCTTTCATGTGGGGGGATGCATTTTTGTGTCTGCTGCCGCAGTTTGCACTAACTGCCTTGAGCGGAAACAGAGGCGTTCGCCATGCGTCATGCGTCCCATCCAGTGCCAGTAACTGTTTGCACTGGTGGCCTCCTCCGGCCTCCTCTGGCATTCTTGATCAAGCAACCTCTTGTTGTCTCCGGCAGGATACTGTGTCCTTCATGCAGGTTTCGTTCTCGATATTGACCCCCATCCGGCCTGCCCCACGCTTCGACCTTTGGCCCCCACATTCAGCCGGGTGCAAACAAAAGGGTATGTTTTTTTCTCTTGGAGTGTGCAGTCGTTGGTCAATGCTCGATGAACGAAGACATGATAATCAATTCGTGTTCTTCAAAAGTCTTGAAGACAGTCGTTTATAGAGAGCAGTGTTTCTGAATGAGCACGGGCAGGCAGGGTTGGACTCTGATGCTGGGCTATTTGAAGAGGTTTGTGAACACAGCCACTCGCTTAGTCAAGTTTGTTTGTAGTCCACCTGTGAGAGCTGCTGGGTTTCTGAGACACGACGACGTTGTATTTTCGTTGTTGACTTGGGACAAGTTCCTCTTGGAACCGGCTCCTGTTGGCATTTGGGACTCCGAGGCAGAATGGTCGTGACTCTTATATCACTTTATCCATCCTTGTGTTGCTTTCATTCGCCCAGGTAAGCGTTTGCAGGGCTTCATCCCGAAGCTAGATGATGATGAGCTTGGTGACTATAGAAGGGTGTATGAAGCTCGGATGCGGGAATGTAGCACGCGGGCTGGTGGGGCGCAGAAAGTACAACTTCGAGTTTCTTGTCCTAGTGAGTCAGTTTTGAACCTATACCATTAGTTTTTTGCTTGGAAAGCTTTTGGTTCGCTTTCCTTGTTTGGGAGGTGTCAATGACACTTCTTTTTTTGGGATCATGTCACACTGCATCACTTGCGCAACAAATCTAAGACTCCCAGATCAATTTCCCTGTCGCCCTGGCCACATTTTGAGGGAATTTGTTGATGTACTGACTGTATAGCTGCTGCCAATTTTCAACTTCTGATGTGTGGCGCCCCCCCAGCTAGCCATGTTTAGTTTAGGTGGCCTTGGCCTCCGCCCAGTACAGCGATCCTGTCTCTTTATGTTTTTGCACTGTTGGATTTTTTTGGTGAAAGGCCTTATGCTGAACCAACTCAGCTTGGCTTCACCGGTTCTCCTGCTTCCAACACCTCTATATGTTGTACATTGCAGTGACAACCAATGTGGTTTTGAGTCTGTTGCCTCAACATGTCATGAGTGCGAATGCCTTTTATTTTGGCACAAGCCTGTCGGGCGTTTTACGGTGGCCATAGATGTGAGTTGAACCATTTGATTCATTTCTATTCTTTGTGAGATAGACCAGTGTCTTCCCGCTTCCAGTGCAATCGACACTGGTAGCGGAGCCTGGACGAAAGGGCTTGGGAGAAGAGTGCATGGAAGCTGGAAGCGGCGTCTTTGTCAAGGTTGCCGACATGGAACGGAGACTGGAGTCAGTCCCGGCATATGTGATGAAGGTCTAATTGCAGGTAGACTCAGCTGCGTAGTGAGACTGGCGCAGCAGCCTTTCTCATTCAATACTTGAAGGAACAGCGTAGAAGAGACAAAGTGGATCTCCTCGGAGATTCGTTCCGTGACCTGTTTCAGAAGAGAGAAGTGCATCGCAGAGAAAATACGGTTATGTGAAGGAGGTTCAGGATGCGATGAGAGATCTGGATGAGAACAAGTCCATGCCCTCAGAGTTCGTTGGTTGGTTTCTATTGAATCTGTGTGTGCATCTCGAACCATCAGACGTTGCTACGATAAATGCCAAAGCTGAATCATATGAACTCACCAAGATTGAGAATGCCATCAATATGATGTGGTCAGGTGGGGGCCTAGATGAAGACCTGGAACAAGAACTTCATGGCTAGCGGCTATGGAGGAGAGACAGAGGACAGACTCATTTGATTTATGCTGAGCGAGAAGATCAGGTTGAAGAATAAGAGGAAGAAGACCCAGCCTGGTTTCAATTTGATGGCCTATAGCGGCAGCTGTTCTTGAAGATCCAGAGAATGAGCAGATGCTGACCACCTTCCAGGACGAAGAAGAGACTTCAGTACAGGGAAGCAGGAAAGATGCTGGCAAACTCTCGCGCCGTTCGAGACTATTATCCAGTGGACAAGCCCAAGTACACAAAGCCTTTCAATTGAGATGGGGAAATCAGAGGTATTTTCAATATTCTGTACAAAGGGATGGTCATTTTGACACCCACTCTGTGGTCTTCCATCCTTTCCATTGAGAGTATGGTGGGGCTGGCCCTACTCATCTGTCGGGCGTTTACCACTCACTGGCGGTGCAACACTCAGTACATGTCCGGGGATCTTCTGCCACAACTTCATGTGTCTTTCCACGGCTGCCCAGGACTTGCAAGATGAACATCATCAAATGAAAGCTGGGAGCCGGGAGCTCGTGCCAATTGCGCTTTGTGTTCCGTCATTTCCGCAAAATGAGCCCACCCTTTCTTGAAGCTCACTGTCGCATCATGGCTGTACAAGAAGCGAGATGAAAGAAGCTACATGAGCTTGCATAGTCGTTTCCCTACGTTGATCTTTGCTAGCTCAAGCGCGTCACGTTCCTCGCCTTTCCCACACACAAAGGACTTGTGCAAGGATCGATCCAATTCAATGTCCTTGCGGGCCCCAAACCCCAATCGCTTGTAGCGTTCGTAGAGCTCTTGCAGAGTGTTAACTCCGATGATTGTCTCTGAGGCACGGGAGTCAAGAATTCCACAAAAACTGGTTTCTTCAGAATTCATTGCGTAGATGGGTTCAAAGGGTTCATTGGCCATGGTCATACCAGGTATTTGGATGAATCGCCTTTCTTGCAAGCCAGGTGCACCTCTCCATTCGACCCGTCACGCAGAAAAGTCACGTTTCTTTGGCTTCTTCTGGGGGCAATCTCGGGCGCGATGACCATACTTGCCACATCGCATACAGTCACCGTGGAAAATGCTCTCGATGTCCTTTGTCAGAAGCATGTTGATTGCTTGAAGTGTGTACTCCTTGGGATCCCCTTTGTGTGAAAGTTTTGAGCAGGCTGGGGGAAAGACTAATTGTTTCGACTTGTCGACCAAGGAAGGGCTCAGGAAAAGTGTCCAGACGTGGAAGCACAAAGCCAAGGCGCTGTCTGATTCGCTCTCCAACCCAATCCTCCGAGAAGTCCATTTTTTCATCTTTCTCGTTATCAGTAGTCGTTCAAAGCAAGAGCATATCCTACCTTCTGATTTCTCCACTCTCTTTTGAGACCGTTCGCATTCACAGAACACAGTTTTTCTTTTTGGCAGGTGGAACTCCCAGCAAGTCGTCTTAACTTTCTACTGCGCCGCTCTGTCCGTCCCGAATCTTCCGGTCATGGTGATCGATCAGCCTTGAGAAGAACCGTCCGCTCTTTTTGCATGACTAGCATTTGTAAAGAAAAGAATCATAGGATCCTTGTAACGCTGTGAGAGAACTTTGATCCTACTTGAGCCTCGGTCCTTTGCAGTCTACAAAGCCTTTTGGCTTGCCAAATCTCCTTCACAGTGGCAGAGCCATTGTAGAGCCTCGAGCAGGGACCGACCAGTTGGACCAGTGGCTAACTCCCAAAAGATCCCATGATACCATCTGAACAAGATCTTGAAGACTTGAGCTGGGAGCGTGTGAGTGTGGGAACAGCAGATCACCCAACGCTCTTCAACCGAGTTGCTAACGAGCAAGGCCGTGTACGAGATGATTAGCTCATGAGGCAGCTAAAGAGAGAAAGCGTGCCATCATCATTGGACATGGAACGCAGGGACAAACGACGGAGGACCGGGCTTCAATAAGCAGGTGTGAACTATCTTTTGTGCGCAGGTCCTCGTGATGTGTACTGCAGAGAGAGAGAGAGAGGAAATTGCATTTGGACTGTGACCGCTACAGCCAAACGTGGTGCAGATGTCGATGTCCGTGAGAAAGAGTTTAATGAGGTTAAAGGGAAAACGAACCTTGCGTCAAACGTGTTGCTGTGGACATCTGCAACCTTCATGGCATTGACAGAAAGGGTTCTAGGTCTGCGGAGGGTGTTAGTTTGGAAACCAACGGCTGACGAGTCAGGATCACTTACCGGTCGGAAAGCGAAGGCGCGATTGATCATCTTCTTTGCGTTAGTCGGGATTCACCCAAGTTGTCAATAACAAGCAAGCCTGTTTGGCTGGGAACAGACGTCAAAACGGCCTTTTTAACGGAGACGACGCGGAACTTTCTCGAATGATCTTCGTGGACCCTTGAAGATGTGAAAATGCATCTTGGCAAGGCGAAGGTTTCAGCATCAGAAAAGCAACATACGGACTTGTGAACGCTCCAAGACAATTGTTGAACAAAATGGCCAAGGAACTTAGAAATCAAGGGTGGAAGCAGTGTGTTCTTGAACCTTGCATTTGGCGGGTTGTTTAGTGAAGGTCAACTGGTTGATCTGTTGGGTGTTCATGTGGATGATGCTTTTGTTTCTTTTCCTGGTCAGGCCTATGAAGCCAAAATCTCTGAACTGCGACAGACTTGGAAGAGTGAAAGAAGTTCAGGAATGCGCAAACACATACGACGAAGTTGAGCTTGTGAAATAGTGAAACATGTACTGTAATGCATGAGATCCTCCACGAACAAGGAATCAAGCCCAGAAATTCAGACGAATGCGTTGCAAGTATCCCGGTGGCAGTGGTTTGTGACGCCAAGAACCTGTACGACTCTGTCAAAAGGGTGCAAATGGAAGAGCCACGTTTGTGCTTGGACGTTTTGAACATCAAAGAAAGAGCTCCACGAACGCTGATTTGAAATGGATCAGTTTTAGGCAACAAAAGATCTGTCGATCTCACGAAAATGCTTGAAGTGGACAAACTGTTGGATATGATCCAAAGGTGTGGAGGTTTTGTTGGTATTTCTTGGAGTTCGACATTCTTTACAGCGAAAAGAAAGCGTCGGGAAAGAAGCAGTGCAAAGGAGTCAGACATGTTGAGAAAGAAAAACATCGATGTTGTTTTGAGTCTGTTGCCTCAACATGTCATGAGTGCGAATGCCGTATCATTTTTGGCACAAGCCTGTCGGGCGCTTTGCGGTGGCCATGGATGTGAGAAAAGTGTACACGCGGCTTTACATTTGGGGTGGCTGGAAAACCGGATCCCATTCTTTTGAAGCTGCGCAATTGAACCAACTGATTCATTTCTATCCCCTGTAAGATAGACCAGTGTACTCCTGCTTCCAGGGCAAATGTGTCTGTCAAACTCGTAGTTGCTGTGAGCTGCACGAACTAAAGCCGAGACTCGAGAAATGTACCTACGAATGCTGGTTTATTTTCTTCTCAGCTTAGTTATCATAAATCCAGGGGACACTTGGATTTTTCTTTGTGACTGCCAATGCTGGCACGCTTGCAGGAAGCCTGGCAAAGATCCCGGTTCATCTTCCTTAACTGCTTCGATTCTATGACACACATCAAGAAAGAACTAGTCACTTTGCTGAAAGCTGGCTGAAAGCGAATGGGTGTGATCATCCCAATTGCTTTGGATTCTTTTTTATTTATTTGCGTGAACTTATGTGCTTGTATACTGTTTTTGGGTCCGGCAGGGTGCATGATCTTGTTGCATCTGTACTTGCAAAACATGAACCGTAAAAGACCACAGCCAACGCATGGTCTTCCAATGCGTTCCGTAAATCGGTTTAACGCGCAACGCTATATGCTTTTGTGATTCGGGGGTCGAGGCCCAATCTATTCCCTTCCCCCAGATTGCTTACTTTCTTGGTGTGCCATGATCACCGCATAGGGGTCCTCGAGATATATACTCCAGCGGGTGAAGCGTGTCCTCGCAGTGTCATGCAATGTCAGTGCTAACCAGAGAGTTTTCACCATAGAACGTTGCTAAGGCACTCGTTGAAGAGCTCAAGGGCAAGCAGCATACACACATACAGGCCGAGCGCGTCAAATCAAAGCTAGCTTAGCTTAAACAAATTTATCGCGGGCAGGGGTTGTTGGTTTTTGAGAAGGCCAAGAAAGCTCGTTGGAACTGACAGTCCAGCATGGCAAGGTATGGCAAACCATACCTTTTGGATGATCATTTTGCACCACAATGATCTTCAAAACGGCATCATAAACGCGGTCAAACATGTATTCTCCAGGAAAACAAGAGTGCCCATCGAAAGGTATGTTTGCACACACTGCAGAACGCTGAAAAACCATTAAAGGGTCAATTTTGTAGAATTGTGCATTTGCTGATGCTCAAGGTTGCTGTGGCTGCTAAAGAAGACAAATGGCATATACAAGCTTCAGGAAAGGTGCTTTCAAGATTTTGAAGTGCAGATCGTGGTATTGGTATGGCTGGGTTCACTTGGAGGGAAACATACCGAATCCTCCCAGAGCTCAACCGCGTTAAAATGCAACTATCCCTCTCTCACCATAGCTAGCACGAAGGAGCGAGTTTACCCACTCAGCTACCTCAGCGCCAGCTATCGCTTGGCTACGCGGTTTGTGTGGCGCAAAGCTGACCCACCTTCACTTGGGTGAATCTTCTGTCTTTAGCTAGCTGCCAGGTGGATCCAAATTTATCGATTTCATCAAACAGCCCACCCAAACTCAGTTGATTCACTGAATTCACCATTCATCTCATTGGAGACAGTTGACGGCCGTCAGGGCATCGTGGATATCGTCTCTTCTTTCCACCTGGAGGGGGTCACCACCCTCAAGAATCTTGGCTTCAGCAGAGTCTGGAGCAGTGATACTGGATACTGGCTTGGTTTTTTGCTTGCCTGGTTGCTCATGGCTGAGGATGAGCTCAAATGACATTACACCCGAGGGGTCATTAGCGCCTTGGCTTTTCAAAGTAGTTTGCGTTGATTCCCGAGCAAGATGTACTGCACTCTTGGATATGACGTGAAGACTCGATATGGCTCCAGTTTGCCGTGATGCGTTTGTTTGGCAGGCTCTGGCGAAAGGCTTGACAGCAAACAAATCCATAGAGAACCTTGACATGTCTGGCAACAAGATTGGAGCCGAGGGCACACAGGCTACGCAGCGGCTTGCTGTGTTGATCTCTGACTGCGCAACCAGTGTTGTCTACTGACATGTATGCACATGGCCGATTGCTTTGGCTTCAAGATAACTGTGCAACTTTCAGTTCAAACACCTAAATAGCATGTCTGGAACGGATGCACGGCCGGACTTTCACAGAAGAGCTCTCAAGTTCTGGTTTGCCTACAAGCTTTTGTTTATTCCCCAGATAGCTGCAGGCTGTAGGGGTTCTAACTTCTCAATGGTGTGGCTCTGGATTGGCGTTTTGGTTTTGCAGGGGCTGCTGCTGTGATGATGCTGGTGCAGGTGCAGGTGAGGGTCTGGATCGGCATTTTGGTTTTGCAGGGGCTGCTGCCGTGCTGATGCTGGTGCAGGTGCAGGTGCAGGCCCTGGATCGGCATTTTGGTTTTGCAGGCGCTGCTGCCTTGCTGATGCAGGCGCTGGCTCTGGATCGGCGTTTCGTTTTGCGGGCGTGGGATCAGCGTTTTGGTTTTGCGGGTGCTGCTGCCGTGCTGATGGATCGGGGTTTTGTTTTGCTGGTGCTGGTGCAGGCGCTGGCGCTGGATGAGCGTCTCGTTTTGCGGGTGCTGCAGCCGTGCTGGTGCTGGTGCTGGTGCTTTCGTTTTGCGGGCGCTGCTGCTGTGCTGGTGAGCTCGTGCTGGCGCTGGCTCTGGGTTGGCGTTTCGTTTTGCGGGTGCTGCTGCCGTGGTGCTGGTGCTGGATCGGCGTTTTGTTTGCCCGGCGCTGGTGCCGTGCTGGTGCTGGTGCAGGCGCTGGCTCTGGATCGGCGTTTCCTTTTGCGCCATGCCAGGGATGACGTCATGTCATACCAGGGATGACATCGCGTCATGCCAGGGAGGACATGCCATGCCAGGTGTCATGCCAGGGGTGACATCATGTCATGCCCAGGATGACGTCATGTCATGCCCAGGATGACATCATGTCATGCCAGGGATGGCATCATGTCGTGCAAGGGCTGGCGTCATGCCACGCCATGTGAGATCGTGTCATGCAAGGGATGACGTCATGTCAGGCCCAGGGATGACATCAGGTCACGCCAGGGATGACATCATGTCACGCAAGGGCTGGCATCGTGTCATGCCAGGTGAGATCATGTCATGCAAGGGATGACGCCGTGTCATGCCAGGGACAACATCATGTTCTGCCAGGGCCGACGTTATGTGTTGTGAGGGACGACGTCGTTGTGTTTTGCAGCAATGATCATCACCTCGTCTGGGCAGCTTTGGCTTGTCTTTGCAGATCTTGCAGTCTTACGTCTGTGTTGGGCAAAGCGGGCACATTCAGCTGATAGATGTTGCGCATGTTGGTGGACTGGTTACATGTTGCGTGCTGCGGTGACAGCCGTCCGCGGCGTGTGCTTTGAACCTTTACACCTGCTATCTGGGTGTAATATGTGTTTGTGTTCAGCATGCGCCAATGAGACCTATATTTGCGAGGGTCTCAAAATTGGCTATACCGCCATACCTACCTACCTACCTAGCTAGACTTACCAAGCTACGAAGCCTTTGCAGATCAAACAAAATCAGCCACCATTTTCGATGTGTTTGTTTTGGCAGTAGACTTTGGGAGCGTGCCGTTTAAGGAACACCTGAGCTCAGGGAAACTTCGTGCCATACTTGTGAGCCCCTTTCAGCCTTGAAGTTGCCGCACGCTGCTGAAAGTCGCAATGGCTTTGCCTTTGTCCATGCAGCTGGCGCCATACACTTGCCCGAGGCCACTAGAACTTCTGCAAGTGCTCCTTGGACACTCAGCACTGACCAAGGACCGCCAGTTCACATTTCTCTCGAGCTTGAGAGGATTGGTGAGAAAAGATCTCGGTTGTGCTGCGGGTGATGCCACTGGCTTTGAAAGCAGCTACAAAGATGTCAGGGAGAAGGCTTTGGCCCATTATCAGAGGAGCACCGCTTCCTGGAAGACGCAAGGTCGAGTCTAGTCTATATCGTGACGTGGATATCGAGAACAGGCAGGAGAAGCAGTGGCAATGGCAGTTGACCGAGTTACAGGCAACAAGACAGGAGAGAAAGGAAAAAGGAAAGCCGAAAGGGGAACTTGGAAAAGGGACAAGTCGTCTTTGAAGGGAAAGGGCGGAAATGGAACGGACAGGCTGTTTGCAAGCTTTGTGGAGGGGCTACAAATAGCTATGAGGAATGAGGTCAGTGACAGATTAACCAGTGCAGCCCAGGAGACAAGCAACGCTGGGAGAGTGCTGGAGAACCTAGCCCGAAGTGCAAGGCAAGCCCAAACGCCAGAGCATCAACCTGCATGATCCAACCTAGGGAGTGAGCCAATGTGCGCACCGCGCCAGGCAGGTTCCTATAGTGACGCCGCATTGCGAGCCTCACTGTGCAAAACTAGACGAGATTGCCTGACGAGGCAAGTCAGAAAGTAGAAGTGTCCTGTGGTCTTCTTGTTTTGCGCATCAGGAGAGGCAGACATGCCATGGCCCGGCCAGCTACCGATGCAGAGATCCAGTCCAAAGTGGGATGTCGCACGGACTCACCATCTGTGGGGCGAAAAGGAGTTGGTTAAATTGAGTAGTGACACACGAAGCCGCAGGATCATCTTCGTGAAGTATGTGGGTTTGTCAGGGTTCACGACACTGTCATTGAATAGCTGCAGCTGTGAAATCGGAATATGATCACGGAAGGGGTGACTGTTCATGTCTGGTTGTGCTACACACAGGTTCACCGTGGATTATTAAGCATGTCTTCTTCAGTGAAGATGGACGCCAACGTGTCCAACCAGTGGTTGCTGATTTAGCGGAAGATGCGTGTGCCACCGGTCTTGGAAACAGATTTGTCGTGAAAGCGTCTTGCCACTTTATTTCGTTGCTGCAGTTGCGCCATACGCAAGAGTGTTTTGCCAGCCTTTAAAAACAAAAATATGCGCCGAGATGCGCCGAGAAATCCCGCCACTGAGATCCAAGTTCTTCAGGCCCTCATTTAGCGGGGTCTTCCAATTTTTGCATAGCGACGCAAGCTGCGAAGAGCAAATTCGCTCATCGGGCCACAGAGGCCGCCGAGTCGGCGCCAACAGCCATTGAGCTCGGGCGTAAGAAGGAACAGGTGAAGGAGGATGTGCCAAAAGCAGAGGGTAAGAAGTCAGAGCTAGACGTAGTCGATATCCAAACGACCGCTTGAAGCTCAACATGGTATAGAATTAGATGGACGTTTTGAGGATTTGATTCTGCAGAGTCAAGTGAGCATTTCCAATTAATGCTATTGCGCGCAGCAGATGTTGATTGGAATTGGGCGGGGCAGGTCGAGGTCTTGAACCTGAGTTGGTGGTGACACGCAAACTAAAGTGTTGCAGCTGTCGACTTCTTCCACGACTATGGCAATTCTGGAGTGCGAACGCCAGGTCATGGGCTCACTAGGTGAAAGTAGTGGAGATGTGGAAGAAGTAAGCCAAGGGCCTAGTCGTTGAAGGAGCAGAGGGACACACCAGACTGCAACAACAAACAGGTGCTCAGAAGGGTCGGCGGAACTCCAAGATCTCTCGTGACGGATCCAGAACTGTAGCAGAACAGCAGGCAGAATCTTGAACGGCTGATGCAGGCAACGAAGATGAGACGTTGCCAGCCGGAGCCCCCACGAGAGATAAGGAAAAAATAGGCCATCCAGGATAAGATGTCAGGAAATGCAGGGTGGACGGGTCGAGGTACGGCACCACAAAGCACACACCCGAGGATGTGTGTGAAGGAAGGCATGTACAGTCAAGACATGACCGCGTGACCAATCGCTCATAAGTGCACACAACTGGCGGAACATAGATACCTGGAGGTTGCATCCGTGCATCAGGGAAGTTTCATTCATGTTTTTTCAGGCAAGATGTGCAATATGTCCGCAGTGTTTGTATGAAGTTAAGTGGATTGGTTTTCTACACGCGGTTACTTGTTTTTGCCGATGTTTGT